GACTGGAGCAATGAAACAGCTTCAGTTCATCAGCAGTCCTTCCTTTACGTTTCTGTAAACTGTACTGTGTTCCCTGCAAAGCAGACCACCATACGTCAAGCAGTCCCGAGCTCCCCTCTTTGCGGAGTGGGGCAAGGTGTTGCTGCCTCGCTCTGAGCTCCCCTGGTTTGGCTTCTCATCTTGTGCGTTGGCACATGTAGGTACCCTACCTCCAGACTCCCATCCATGGGAGTGTGCTACACTCCATCTTGATAGTATCTGCACATTTGTCCTTTCTGGTTTTTGTGCACATTTGGTCAGTCACCCCTCCTGGGGTGCTGGTCTCTGACAAACTTATGTAGAAGCAACAGAAAAATCACAGAATCATAGAACAGTTTGGGCTGGAAGGGACCTTCAAAGGTCATCTAGTCCAACCCCCCTGCAGTGAGCAGGGACATCTTGAACTAGATGATCAGGCCATTCAAGGTCTACCCTTTCTGTCATCTTTTCTTCAACCTTATGATATTCCCAAGGCTTCATACCAACAACTGCCATCCTCAGGCATTTTCCAGTCCCCTCCTCCTTTGGACAGTGGTGATCCCCACTATGGCACCAACTTTTCTGCCACAGATACATGTAACCACACAGTGCTCCTCCCTTCCCACATCTGAAAATAAAAGACCGGGTGACTGCAAGTACCACACATACTGTCTGGCTTTGCCTCTGGCTTGCTCACCAGGGAGCAGATTTCTCAGTGCTTCAACTCCCCCTCTTAGATGAATAATGACAAACTGCGATTTGTATGCCCAGGCAGCTGCAATGGTGAAGGCTGCACTGATCCTCCTTGGATCAGGCTGCAATGAAACATGGCTGCATGGGGAAATGTACCCATTGCAGATGGCGCTCTGCCTTTTCACATTCTTTTCTCCCAGTTTTAGGCTTTTTGGTTTTTTAACCTTGGCCATTTCTGTGTGACCAGTATAGGTACAGGAGGATGAAGGTCTCTGTTTTACCCCTGCTTTTGCTCCTGCTTTGATAATGCCTAAATCTGTCTTTGAACTGTTTGCTTGGCTGCTCTGCCTATCCAGAAGAGAGGCAACTTTCTTAGACTAGTCTTTAACTTCATTGCTTAATAGGAGAAAACTTTAGGACACTAGCAACCAACTGGTGTCCAGAATTTAGAGAGAAAATATGGAAAAGGCATCTACCAAAATGAATAAACAATGAATAACTTCATGGCACTGCACTGTGTGAGGGTTCTCCATAAAAAAAAGAAAGTAGAAAGAAAAGATAAGTGATCTGAAGAGCTGCAGGCCAGTTTAATGCTAGTTATTTTCCTGCTTGGAGGCCCTAAGGGATTTCCCTCTGGATGCATCTTGAGCGTGTTCCCAGGAAATTCTTCCCTTGTTTATACCACTGCCCTGCCTTTCCCCTTCTCACCTCATACAGCTCAGAAATGACATGCCACCTGAGTGCTTTTTTCAGGATAATTTCAGCTACTTCTTGCTCAGTTAAGATTTTGTAAAAGATGAGGCTCATGTACTCAAATCAGTTTAAAGTGCTTTGCAGGAATGTGGCAGAGGAATACTAAATCGTTATTCAACATTTGACCAGACATGAAAATAATCTGCACTCATAGCTAGTTTCTTAAAATGGCCAGTGTAATTACTAATATGCTGTACAAGAAGGTAGGAAACAACTATTTCTGCAGACAAGGAGCATCTTACTGAGACAAAGCTACAGCAAAGCAGGCAATTTTCAGTTCTTTTTCAGAAAGCTTTTTATGTCCTTTCTTGCCTTTGCACTCATAGAAAGCCAATTTTCCATGTCCCTACTACACTCAAAATGGGGCAAGATTTTAAAGATACAGCTCCACTCCATTTGACTGCAGCAGACTAAAAGAAAAATGAAGTTCAGCACTTAACTGATCCCTCTGCACTATTTCAGGGTAAATTAAAAATCAAAATGTCAAGAGGTTCAATATGTCAGTGGGCCTTTTGACAGAGCAGCCACTTTGAAGCCTGAATGGGAACTGTGCTCTTTTTTGAAACCAAAACCAAATGTGTGCAGCTGCTGCACTGTTTCAAAATTCAGGTCCTTCATCTTTGTATTTCTTTTGTAACAAAATTAGTAAAATATTCCAGCTGCTGTTCTACTTATTCTCAGAGCTGAAAGCCTCCATTTAATAGAACTGCTACCTATTTGTTAGGATGGATAATCTTCATTATCTGCATTAAGGTAAAACCTGTGAGTCTTACAGTCTGCCTTCTTCCACTGAGCAAAACTGTATTTACTGCCCGCAATGTCTTTATCTTGCCTGGCCTCCTACAAATCATTTTTTGTTTTGCCATCTCAGTTTGTGTTTGTAAAACAGGAAAGATAATAAATGATAATACTTACCTTCTTCACAAAGATGTGGTGAAGATTAATTAGCTGTTGTTTATACAAAGATTGGCAATAGTGATCTGCAGGTTTGCAAAACACTCGAGCGATTGCTATCGCTGCCGTGCTTGACAAAGAAGCACAGTCAAGGACAGGAGCTGGTGCCACTGCAATCATTTACAGGACTGATGATATATGTGGCCTTGAAGAAAACTCCCCAAAATCATTTGCATCTGTACCTAAAAGAAGGAGAAAATGCGTATCAGGGCACTCAGAAGTTCGGTTTGCAAAGCAGCATGTGCAGGACAGCACCAAGGCAGCCCTGCTCCTTTGTACCTTAGCAAAAGCAGTGTTACCTACTAGTTTTAAGGGCGAGATTTTGCCTCATTGGAGCCTGTGAATGCAATCATGTGCCATTAGCACATGGCAAGAGAGTGTCTGGATATTGTGAAGAGGCTTGCCAGCCACAGGGGCCACAGACACAGAGCTCAGCTGAGCATGGGACTGGTGGTCTGAATGGGAGCCTAAGGCAGAATTTGGTGAAGCTCAGACTTTGTTCTGAACAAAGCTGGGAGCAGCCAACTAGCCCTGAAGGTGCTCTCCGCTGCCCAGCAGGCTGCTCCTCACCTGGCCACACACTCTCCACTCTTGGCCAGGCAGCATGGGTTGGCATGGACTTGAATTGGAGTCCCCCTCGAGGAAGATGCTCCTTCACCGCTTTGGCCTTGGAATCCCTGGGGTCTCCATTACTTACCAGCGGCATTCCCTGTCCCTCACCTCAAACCCTTTAGTCTGCTGCAAAAGAAACACAGGATAAGCAATCCAGATTGCTCATTCAGTAACCTCCTAGATAGTGTTAAATTTCCTCCTCCTGAACTTTGCTACGGATTCAACCTCTCCCACTCACATACGCTTCCCTTGCCAGTCACTGCATATATGTATTGTGCTAGAGCAAATTGATGCCTTTGGCGCTCAGCCTGCTGCGTTAGTTAGACACTTATGGGCTGTCCAGTCAGCAGGTTAGGCTATTTTCATAGTGAACCATCCACAGTGAAATGTGTTTTTCCCCACAGCTGCCCAATTTGTTCTTGTAGGTGTTTTTGAGCATGGCCAGCTTTCAGCCTGAGCTTGCTGCAGGCAAGGACTGTCTCTGTGTGAAACAAAGGGAGGCTGTGCTGGCCTGAGCGCCTTGTCCTTAACTTTCCCCTGATTCCCCACAGCTCTCCACAGGATCCAGTTGTTGCTTTTCACCTTCCTCAGCAACTCCTTGCCACCCTGACAGCCACCCCTGCTCTCCTGTGCTGCGACACTGCCTGTGGCAAGGAGACATGGCATGTCCAAACATGATGACAGCAAATGGTGAACTCCCCCTGGGCAAAGCAGGGTCTGTGGCTATTGCTGGCAGTGACCAGCAGCCAGTGATGGCTGGGTCAGGGCACTGTAGGTTGCTGACACAGCAGATGGGACTTTTGTATCTGAAGCTTTGTTCCTGTTGCAGCCAAAGGGGTGCAGGTGATCAGCAGGAGCTGGTTGCGGAGATGCTGATCCTTCCATAACTCATGACTGCTTTTGTCAAATCATCTGATGGCACCTGGATAAGATTCCAGGGGTGATTTTCCTGCTTTGGCAGAGACCAAAACACTCTGTCAAGGAGAGGTGAATTTAGCACAGTACATGTGTGAGATCTGGGACACTGATACCACAGTTACCATCTTGACCAGCAGGTACCAGGACAGATGGCTGGTCTATCCTTGAACAACTGGATATTACAGTCCCTTGAATCCCAAGATCTTTGTGTTTCTTTACTTACAGCCCTTCCTGCATAGCTATGCATTTGTCCTGGTCCTCTTCAACAGTCCACTTGCTCCTCTGTTAGTCTCGTTTCTGCTGCATACATCCCTAGGTACAGACTACCGCCACCTGAATAAAAAATGCAGCCAACACCAACCGTTCATTAACTCCTTTCACATTGTAGCAAAAGCAGCACTGATCAAACTTCCGTGTTCTGTAAAGTTACAATTTCTCAGCAATGCTTTTTTAACAGGAGAGGTTCAGTTGCTATGGTGGACACTTATGCCAGTAAGGTCAAAATCTACAGGTTAGACTGTACAAGGCCAAAAGTGCATGCCATATGATTTCAAGCTATAGACATCCATTTAATGGTGTGAGCTTAAAGGAAGGATGTATATACGGGGCAATTTGTGTTGCAAAGTACATGCAGATGACAGTGCAATATGATGGGAGATGTTATCACTGAGATTAGAATTTACTCTTATAGCCCAAATTGGGATAGTATTTGTCTGGGAAATGATGGTACCCTGGAAAAAAATACTAAACTTCTGATAATTTAATATTGACTGTGCCCAGTAAATATCCCTTCAGTTTCTTATTTCCAGCTAAGATTAATTTTCTGATCAAAGAAAATTTGATCAGAACTGCATAGACAGTGCAACAGCAGTGATATTACATGGCTTGAGGATATGTATTGTACCTTTGAATCTCTGCAGGAAAGCCAGCTAGGAGGGGATGATGATGGCTTGTGGTAGAAGTTCTGCAAGAAATAATAACTACTCTTTGGTTTTGGAAAGGAGTTGTTTTTATGTATTTCTTTCCCACTGTCAATCAGAGAAGCCCTTTCCTCTCTTTGAAAGTACAGTCTTTGTTTTACACCTGCAAAACTCAACGATTTTGTTGTTGTTGAACCCTGTGCTCATTACAGTTATTGCTATTTTAATTTCTTTAAAGAAGACCAGAAGTAGAGATGAATGCTACCACAGCATTTGTTTTGCTGTTAGCAGCTACGTTAACAAGATTAATCTTGGTCCTCCCATCTTTCTGCCCTGTCCAGTGTGATAGATAGCCCCCTTTTCCTTCCCCTCCTACTTCTCTCTATTGCTGCTAGATCAGCTTCTCTCATCACAGGTGGAGCATCCCACTCACGCAAGCTCTGAATGGTTTCTGGGTAGCCCTTCACCAGCCGTTTCACAATATTGCCTTCTTTGCTTTTTTACTACCATCACATTAAATATTCTCTGCTTCACAGTGGTTGTTAAGTGGATGGTTTGCTACTAATATCTGGCTCTGAATGGAGACATCTTACTTGGAGTATTCCCAGCACCATTTGCTGCCTCTATTTCCATTTCTAGAAAGGGTTTCACTGATATCTGAGAAGCAGGGGAGGAATCGGGATATGGTTGACAGAAATCCCAGAAAACACTTGTCTGTCTTGTGCACTAATTAGCGTAGACTTGGTCAAAAGTGTTCTGAACTCTTATTTATTTATTTTACTCATTTCTATAGCATCTATCACCATGACAGCAATGTGCTTCAATGGCAGGAAATTAAAACACAAAATGCAGGCAGCTAATCAAATGCAGAAGCAAACAGAAGAATTTTGTGCAGAGCCCTTGGTGTCGCTACAGTCTTGCTTTGACAGGTAGTTGAGTTTCTGCAGGGAAAAAAAAAACGATGTTTTGTTTCTTTCGAATTCCCTTTTCCCTTGGAAGCGTAAACATGAAATTACTCTATCTTCCTCTGTTGGGATGTCTTATTTATTTTCCTGCTAGTGGCTGTTCAAGAGGATGATGTTTAATTATTTCCTGGGTTTAATTCATGGCTTGTATGGTTCAGTATGAGGATTATGGTAGGACTGGTGTGGACTGAGGCACAGCCTGGTAGTAGCAGCTCCATAGCCAGGATCTGTTCACCATAGCTGCCCAGGCTCCACCAGTGCTCCTCTCTGTGGTGTGCTGCCTCTTATTAGCAGTCTTATTTTACCCTCTGCCCTTCTGGGGCTGTGCAGGCATCAGCAGATCTCTGTGCACAGGCAGGGGCTGAACACTACCTCAAGGCTCCTGGGGTGCAGCACACTTTTCTGGCAGGAGCAGGTGAAAGGGCAGCCATACAGCTTGGTCCCATGCATCGAGCTGCCTGCTTAGCCAGGACAGAGGCAAAGAAAAAGGCAGAAGGAAAACAATTCCATGCAAATTATCTCAAACCTTTTAAAAATGTTTGTTTTGAAGGATCCAAACTAGACCTCGTCTGGGCTTCATGAGGCTTACTTCAGCAGTATTTGAACACAAATATTACTGCAGTTATCAATTCAGTTCAAGCATGTCACAATTTTTCTCCAGTTTTCCCCTTCTGGGCTGTAGCCAATTCCTAACTCCGCATGTTACACCCTCTCCCATGGGCATCATTCACACACAAACCCAAATCCCTCCAACCCCAGGACATGGCAGTAATGAGTGCCGAATCCCAGGGCAGATGGTTGAGGGCCACATATGAGTAGTAGAATTAGGGCAAGAACTATGCTCATCTGATGCCCTTCACCTTAGACACCAGGCTGTGTGGTGCAATGCTCACCTCCCTGCTCAGCACACAAGGTTTTTTTTGCTGGAAAGTGGCTAGCTGATGTTAGGGCATATGTTTATGACTACATCTACGTCTTTGGGTGTGAGGTGCAGTTGTGTGATAGAAGCGTTTTGGACTTCAGGTGTTTGGGCAATTCCTATGTTTAAAATTATTGTTTAAAAAGAAAGCTCTTTGAGGAAAATATTTAAAAGAAAGCTCTTTAAAGAAGTATTGAAATAAGCCATGGAGACAGCCTAGTAAAAGGGTAACAAAACCATTTGGGCCTCTTTTTAACCTTGACAGGGACCCTTTGAGCTCTTTACATAAGGTATTGAATACGTCAATCACAGTCTCTCCGCTGTTTGAGACTCGAATCAGAAGTCTGCTAACTTCTCTTGAACACTTTCATCAAATCATCATCTTATACTGGAGTCTTCAGATGATTTCTTTTGGGAGCAACAGAATTTCACAAACGCCAATCTTTGTATTATTCCCCCTGCACCTAAATTAGGTTTTGTATTCTTTTGAGTAAACAGTTCAAACAGCTAAGCATACCTACCAAGGAGCATCCTACCAGGATGCTTTCCTAATAAGCTTTCTTTAGTATTGAAAACTGAAATACATTTTTCTTGATTAGTGTTGATAAAATGTCTGCCATGTGAGCAATGAATCACACAAAGCTTGAGTCCTTCCCTGCACCCAGCAAGTCTGTGCAGGTGGGTAGAGTTTTTTTTGCTTTGCTCCTGCAAGCTAAGTCCAGGTTTCATAGTCATTGAGGCACTTGTCTCATAAATCCACATACTAACATTAGCAGTCTAACTCTTCTCGAAATAATTACATTGCTTCTATTTGGGGTTGTAAACTTGGGTGTGTTGTTAAGAAGCAGTTGTGTTTCACTCTCCAAATGACCAAAGCAACTGGGTCTTCTCTCAGGTGACAGATGCTTCACAAATCTGATATACTCATTACTTGCCTGCCCATCCAGGTGCATCTAGGATAAAGATATTTACGAGTGGGCATTTTTCATTAGTGAGTTACAATAATGAATACTTTAGTCTCTTTTTTACTTCTCTATCCATCTTTTTGAATTATTTACTTGATATTAATTATGAAAGCTCTCACTGTTTTGCGGAGCCGGTATAACCAAGTAGTGTTATTTCTTGCCATAAGGGTGCAGCAAGGTTAAATACCAAAAGCCACTTGATGTGATTTTGCAGAGATTTTGGGCATATGGAGCCACAGAAGCCCCTGAGGCTGTCATCAGATCCACTTGGCATCTGTAATCAGGAGGAGCAAGCTGATTGTCTTTGCTTTTCATAACTCTGCCTCTGAGTAGGAACTCTCCAAACTATTTCATCTGATAATGTCTTGGTGAAACTTTCATTTTATGTATGTAGCTAGGCAGTCTCTCCTTGCTTTGAAAACTGATTTTATATTGTGGCATTTTTATCTCGTATTTGCTTTATGTTTGTAGGTGCCAGTCTACTGGCTACTGGTTTCTGAAGTAGTGAATGTTAGCACTTGAGTAGTACTCACTATTGGTCAGGTTCAGGCTGAAGCCTATTTAATTATTTTTTTATTATTATTTAAAAGGTATAAATTATTCTCTGGGCTGCAGATACCTTCAGTTCTCTGTACTTGGAAACAAATCAAAGTTTGTTTTCCATTCATCCCAGGAAAATAACTTTACGAACCCTACAGTCAACTATATGAACATAATCACGCAATGCGCTTTAAAAATGGAAGTAACCCCCAAAAGGCTTTTGCTGCATAGGGAATGGGTGGAGCTCACAAGTGCCTGCTAAGGATAATGGACTCTGTATTTCAGCCCTGTTCTCTGATCCATAGGGGCAATTCCTCTCAACCTGATCCCAAACTCTGCTGAAAACTGTTGTATTTAAAAGCCCTTGGGAGAGTATTTCATGGAATTGAGATTAGAAAGCAAGAACTGAAAAGTGGAAAGTGCTCCATGATGTCTTTTTTTAGCAGCTTAGGATTGATTCATTCTAGTATTTGTGTCTGGGCCCTATTCACTGCTGCCTCATAGATCAATGGCACAATGGAGTCCCAGCTCTTGTTGATGCAGCATAGGGGAACAGGATCCTTTAGCTCCCAGGACTATAAAATGTCTAATAAACTCTGGAGCAAGAGTGCCATATTTGTGCAGCATTGCCAGCTGCTCTAGCCTTGTTGTCTATTAAGTTGTGGTTTTAGTTTCATTATTGATGGGGACTGCCGATAGTTGAGCAAATGACATTGCTTGCAGATTTGAGGTACTTTGATAAAGCATCATTGACATTAGAGTGCTGAAAGAGGCTAACAGTAAAAGAAAACCAGTCAGAAAAGAGCCCTTGATATATACAGAGTGAATTTATGATTCACCTCGCTTACTTCTCCTTTGGAGACTAGGAAGCCTCCAAAGTTGCACCTATGGGATTCATACATGAACACGTGTTGCAGGAGGCAGGGGAAGACTAAAACTGTGCATACCAGAGGAAGAAGAAGACCCAGCTATGGGAGATCATGGCTCATAGCAGGAGCAAAGCCATTTGGTGGAAATCCCGTTCACCAGAGCTCTCCTAGCACATCCCTGTTGTACTTCCGCCTTCTCATTTCCCTTCTGCCAGACAGGATCTGGATCAGAAAACAGAAGCAATCCTAAGTTCACCACCTAATTAAAAACTATTTGCTCATTATTTCATAAGCTTCTTTCTCCTATATCGGCATGATTTGTAAAGATGACTCCAGCTGCTGAGCCTCCTCTTGCCAGGAAGGAGGGATTCACTGCAGTGAGAAATCAGTTTAAATTCACATGAGCACTGTCAACCCTCAGTCATGTCAGGAAACTCAGGCTGGCTGCAGGAATCTTAGTAGGAAGTTCAAATGCCTTGGTCTCAAATGATCATCTGCTACTGCAGAACCCAAACCAGGGAGTCCCTGAGCATGAGTTTGCGTCTCTCTGTCTTTTTCTACCCACTGCTCTGTAGCTCCTTTTATATCTTTGGAATAAATTCCATAATCACTCTGAAAATGGTGCAAAACGTGATCTTGCATACAGACATTGTTGCAGTGGGTTGGGGGAACAGTTTCCTACTCTGCTTTGCTTGCTCCCTGTGCATTGTCACCAGGGGCATGTTGCAACTCCTGACAGTATTGTATTTATTGCTTTCTTTAATCCTATGGGACATGACATCAAGCACACCTAGGGGAAGTTAGGCAACAATTTCAGTCTCTAGTGTCTTTAGTTCAAGCTTTTCAAATTCAGTAGCAGGCACTCAAATAGAAGCAAATTAATATGAGCCAGCATCCGCAGCTCCCATTTAATCTGCTGACTATTGATGTCTTTGATCAATCTCTAGATATTATATCTTGAAAAGAGAATCCTGTAAGCCACAGGCAGGATCAGTTTCTGCATCTTGGACATCTCAGACAACTGAAAACAAAATCTGTAGCGTTAATCCTGGCATAAATGCAAAAGAAAATGTTCCCTTGAGTCTTACCCGGGCTAAGGTCTATACGGGTGGTAATTAGAACAGCTATCACCCATGCTTGTATCTTGCTTGTTCTTGGTTTGCAAGTCTGCTGTCACTGCCCAGTGCCTGATGGCTCTTGACACCCTTCCTGATGCATTTCTGATCTCTCAGTCTTCGCCATCAGTGGCTGCAGCACTGGGAAAAAAATGGTAAGTGCTGGTGTGTTACTGCAAGGTACAGAAAGCAAGAAGCTTGTGAGCTAAGAGTTTCTTTTAAAGAATGCAGATCAGAGGTTTTGTGCTAACAACATTCTTCAATTATTTAAAATTTGCTAAAATTATTGGATATTTAAAAATATTCAGGGGAATAATTTCTATGCCCTTCTGTTTTTCCCTTCTCTTTACTGCCACATAGAGTCTCAGCCATTAAAAATGCGAAAGAATTACTGTCATGAAAATGAGGGAGATGGCAATGGCATGTTGGACAAAAACACAACCTGGGCTTGGTGAAGCTGTATATCCTTATCAGAAGACACCAAGAGGTGGAGGATTCATTACTTTCATCAGTACCTTGTTCAGAGCTTTTCACCCTTCATCTTAAAAATGCATTTTTACTGTCTCAGATTTGTTTGTCTCAAGCTTACAGCTATCTGGTCTTTTTCTCTCCCACATTAAAGAACTTCATCGTTCCCACTGTTTCTAATAGTACATAGTAATCAAGCCACCTCTCAGTCTTCTTTTTGATCCACTAAGCAGATTGTACTTTTTATGTTTCTCACTCTAAAGCACTTTCTTAAGATCTTAAACACTTTCTGTGGCACTTACTGTGGCTTTTCCTTTTCTGTGCAGTCACCCATTTTGCTACACCCTTATTAAAAAAGATGAACTTTGAAGCTGAGCGTTGTCAGCAGATGGCCTCAATTAGACTACATACAAACCAAAAATCCCATGCCTGAATCAGCTTACATTCCCCTCTTGGCATACAGGAATTATTCTACCTCCTTTGGTGTGGCTTTGCCCTGGTGACCTATGTTCAGTTGCTTCTCTATTATGACCTTAAACCATTTGCCGCTACTGTGGGATTACCCTGCTGCTCATTTCCAGGTGGGGCTTCTACTCCACATCCCCGCCCTTTACACCTGCCTGTAGTAACTGCAGTTTGAGTCAGCCTAACCAAATGTTGCACCATCTCCCACATGATTTACGGTTTCTCTGAGGAACTTTTAGAGAGATGGCTAGTACCTAACAGGGTGTGACCTAGTGCCTCCTGCCCCAGCTCCACAGAGCAGATTTATCCTGGGAAGGGACTCTGGGCCATGGGAGATCATAAAATGAATCCCCCAGGCCTGTCTCTTTCACCAGTTAAATGAGAAAAAAATTATCTCCTTGGCTTTATCAGTAAATTTGGTGCTCTTGGCCTCAGACTTGTGACAGACCTGTTGCTACCTGTCACATCTTCATGAGGAGTCTTGGGTGGAAAATTATTTTGATGTCTTGGTTACTTCTGACCTGCAGTGGAATCATTGTATCTTACTCAAAAGTACCTCAGTTCTTCATCCATTTAATGCAATCTTTGCTGATATTGTGAAGTGTTGGGGATTTTTTTAAATACAGTGCTGTACAGTACTAAGCGAAGCACCTGACAATGGAAGGAAGATTGCTGTATCACCAAATCCATCATCAAAAAGAGAAATATTTTTTGAGACAGGGTTTCCATTTATAATAATGCTGATTGACATTAATTATGGCTTAAAAATCTGTATCAGCACTTCCATTTGGCAGAATAATGATGCCACAAAGTTCCTTCAGCAGTAAGAAAAATGTAATGCCTCCACATTAGTCCCCAGCAGTTTCTCTGGTGCTGTCCACAGTGATGTGTGGGTGTTGCTCTGTGACAGAAGGAAGGTACCCCTGAATACATCACAAGGAAGGTACTCCCTCCCCTTTTAAAATACCTTGATTTTCCAGTCCGGTTTGCATGCTCAGGCTTTAGCTTTGCTGCTCAGCTCCACTTTATGAGCATGGCAGAGTGATTTATTAAGGACTTCAAGAGGGAGACACGAGGGTCACAGCCGCATGGCACTCACAGGGCTGGCGAAGCCCCTCTCCCCATCTGTCTCTGCTATTTGTAGCTATATGTGGTGGCAGTGCAGTAAAGGCATTCACCCATTAAAATACTTTCAGTGCTCGTGCTTATGACTTAAATAAAGGCTTTTGGTTTTCCAGGCAAGGGTTTTAGAGATGTCCATCTCTTCATCTGCTTTCTTTTGTCCTTTGCGTGTTGTCATTGCTTACATTCTTAAAGCTCCACAAATTGTAAGCCTGTGGCTTGCAGTGAAGGCATGCTGGTATATGATTTATAGAGGGTCCTACAAATCATGTTGCACAGAGCACAACCCCTTCCCCCACAGCAACAGCCATCATTTCAGAGCAGCATGGTCTTCAAGGGAGCTAAGCTGTCCTTTTCCTGCTGAGATTTAGGAAGCCAAACAGTAAAATGCAGCTAAGAGTGAGAGTAAACATGCCACAATAACAACCTGGCATTTAAGTTTCAGCAGGGCTTAAGGTGGCCTCAGAGAAGCTCTTGCTTACCATTGGTAATATATTATAACATTAACAGGCATCTGCATATTGGTTTAATGGTTTTACAGATAGATATATATATAAAACCCCAATATGCAAGAATGTCAGCAAGGAGATAAAATGACTTCAAGGTTTAAAAGGCAAGCAGAACTTCCTAATAGTTAAAGGAACTGTATAAATCTCCATTATTAATTGTGGTCTCAGTTTACCAATCCGGTCAAACCTCAGAGGGGGTGTAGCAGACCTCAGAGCACAATTTGACTCTGTGACCACTAACCTCAAGACTTTTCAGCCACCCTCAGCACCACTCCAGAAAGACATTACATATGATGCTCCATAGGGCACATGGCAATGCCAACGTATACAACAAATGCTTAAAAACCCTGCAGCCCTCCCAGGCTCCCAAATACAGGGAAGGGATGCTCTTACCCAGTGTCCCTCCTAGCGGCTGGTGCAGCTCCCAGACTTCAATACTCACTTGGGGAGAGGCTATCAGTGTAGAATGTTTGGGGATCCAACTTGGTCTTGGCTAGCTTTGGCTTACAGTGAATAGAAGAGCTTTGTAAAATTGCTTATGCTGCTTTCCCCTTCCTCCTGTTCTCTGTGCTGATCAGAGAATCACAGAATAATTCAGACTGGGAGGGACTCGGGGGTCATGTAGGGCACAAAGCAGCCCCAACTAAATCAGGTCATGCACAGCCTTGCCTAGATGGGGTTATAATATTGCTGAGGATGGAGACCACAGCCTCAGTGGGCTCCTGCTTCAGTGTTTTCACTGCCCTTCTTCTGAAGAAATATTTTGCTAATCTCTGATCCAAATTTCCTGCATGCCAACTTGCATCCATTACTGTTTATCCTATCCTCTGTACCTCTGGGAAGAGTCCAGTTCAGACTTTTCTTTGCAGCTGCTCGAGGTCAATAAAAGCACAGCCCCACACTTTGCCAGCTCTGTTGATTTTTGTGGGTCTAAAGAGTTAATGCAATAGAACATCACAAGGAAAACAGATCTGGTGTCTCAAAAGGAAGGATTTACCATACAGTGAAACAACTGGATTAACAGATTGTGATTTACACAAAATAGTTTACCAAGGAAGTTGCCAAATAGTAGAATTTATTATTTTTTGTTGTTGCTTTTTACTAAATTAAATTGTGGACCTGGGAGGGGAATGTTCATCAGCAAGTTATGCCCTTCTAAAAATAACCAAAATATTGCTGGAACTATAGACTAATGCCTTAGCAAGATGCATGATCTCCTTAATGAAAAAGGAAATTCTAGCCACTGTGATACTCCATCTGATGAGGACACTTAGCTGTGATGGGGTGGAATAACTTGCTTTATTATACTAAAGTGAACCACACTGCGAGTGTTGGGGGTATGGTTAATGCAAGTACAGAGAAATTACGGAGTGTCTGTTTTGACTTTCTGATTTCATCTAATGGACACAGAGCCTTCAGGCCAAGCGCTTGGAGAGTTTTGTGCCATGCCATTTTCTCCAGTTATTACCTACGCGTTTCCTCCAAAGTACCTGGTGTCAGCAGCTCATTCACAAACCTGGCATTTACAGCTCAGAATTTAAAG